CAAACTTATTGTAAATGCGAATTGTAAATTATTGCAAATGCGAAAAAAAAAAAAAAACTGCATTCGTTGTGATGGTGATTTTCAAAAATACCTGACAACGCGCTCTGTAATTGTTTTAAATTAATCCATTACAGTTATGGAATTTTTTGGAATACAAGCTTTACACTGTAAGGGAACTAACTGGTAATTAGTAGAAATGTAAAATGGCATTAAATGTTACATGCATTTTAATACGTTGTTGCTATATTCGTATATGTGTGTGTGGGGGGGGGATGCGTGTGTGTATAAACAGCGAGCGGCAACAGTCTCTTTCATGCTTGAACGTAATCTTCAGTCTATGTGTGCTGTGTTGTGTTTTAAATCAACTATTTATATACACTTGTCATTGCTGCATTATGGGTAGTAAGGTTTATTATATTATCTTAAAGGTTATTGGGTAGCCAGTCACGGTCATGTTTCAAATTATTCAAGAAGCTGTATAATAGGAATAGTTTTGGATGCAAATGCGGTTGTTTGTAGTTAATTTTTAGTGTTGCTTGTTAAATTATACTCATTGTTTATTATTGATTACTTAATTATTTGTTATTGATTATTATCATTACATTTACTCTGACGACTGCTATGTAACTTAAATCAAATTCTTGACCCTCTTGATATTTCTTCGCTTTTAGTTATTCATAATGCGGTCATTTTTTTTTAAAAAGGAATCTTTAATCACAACCTTTTATCTACTCACCGTAAAGGCCAACACAACATCACTGCCAGCGTGCACGAATTCTTCATGCATATTCTGCACAAGATGCGGATGTTCTATCACAACTTCCGGCACCATGGAACCCGATTTTATGTACCCTCGCTGAATAAACTGGAATAGATAGCCCTCAGCAGCCAAAAAAATGTCTCCATCGTTTAGTCGCTGCAGCAGACCTGTAAGAAGGAATCAATGAAAATGATACGAGTAAAAGTAACTGCATTTTAATAATAATTTATTCGATGAAAGAGTATTTTTTTTTTTTACAGAATGAGAAGTCTAGGCCAGGATGGCAAACGATTCGGCAGAAGAACCCGTGGAAGCGGAACAATAGCGGATTGTCATCGCAGACGTTTTGAATATAAGTGCAAAACAGCGCGAAGTGAACCGTCATCATGTAAGAATTTTGACGGTCCAACGCGCTCCCGCATCCAGTTTGCTTAGAAGGGCGAAATGCTAAATCAAGGTTTCGACATACGTCTACGTAACCAACTTTCTCTCACGTCCTCCTAGAATCGATGTTGCCACATCTGTCCTCGTATAATGAAGCGAATAAAAAACATAAATCATCTTTTGTTGATACAGTCTATGATGCGGCGTTGGAGTCGAAAGAACTGAAACCAGTGTCGACAAGGAACGCAACAGAATCCTTATGGTAGCATGACTTGCGTTTTTCTACAGACAGGTAACAATTTCAACCGACAATCTTTAAAGGTGACTTCACGTTTATTTTTTTTTTGTACTGCTGTCTGTTATTTGCCAATTCGGACAATTAAATATTTTGTCGAATTTGTTCAGAACCTGACATCAGATGTTAAAAAATACTAGATAGAATTAATCCTGGGTTTTGAAAATTGGTAATAGAAATGGAACATTATTTTAGGCTCATCTCGTCATAAGAGGACGAAAAGCTGAGGACACTTCTACAAAAAACATTGCGTGTTATTGGCCGATACACCCGAAGGCTAATATTGAACAGTCCACAAATGATTAGGTAAAAAATCGGTGTAGTAGAAAGTAGATGGAGATATTTTAGAATTAAAACATAAAATTTAGAAGGATAAACCTAGTAAGTTAGAGAACGAAAAATACAATCTGTTGGACAAAGTTATGTTTTTATTCATTTCACCCTGACGATGACAATAGTAAGGCTATACATCCCGTGACATCTTTGCAAGAGTGCCATCGTACAGTACCATCATTGTTATGAGAAGACAGAAAACATTTCAAGCGATCAAACTGAAATATTTCTGGCAATGTCTTTTTCGAGCTTTTTCGGGACTTATTTAAATTAATGACACTAACCTCATACGTCCTATAATCTATATTGAGTTATTTTTATTAAATTATCTCTACATGAATTTATCGAGCGTGCGAGCAAGTCTGCTCAGAGGTTATCCCTACCTTGTATTTACTTTATCTTACAGTTGTTACCTATTATACTCAAAGCATATAATTGAATTTTCTTATTTTGGATGGGAGAGTTCAACAGATATTGTAACAGCTTATGATCCGCGTAAATCGAGAATGTCTTTATGTAGTATTTATGTTACTCTTGGATCGCCCTGGTCTGCTCCCATGTAAGCCCTCTCTACCTATCCTTGTATTCACTGGATTTCTTCCTTTCCTTCCTGCCTAATGTGGGAAGCTGCCCAAAATACATATGAGGGTAGACTGTTCGCACAGTACTCTCCAAGTGCCGACTTTATTGCCTCCCAAATCATTTGCGGGATTTTCGATAATTGCTTTCAGGTGTATCTATCTCCAGCACGCCACGATCTTTGTAGAATCGTCCTCAGTGTCTGCATCCGGGCCAGGTAAAAAAAAAAAAAAAAAAAGGAAAAACAATAGCCCAGCACTCGTGACTGTCGGTTGCGCAGACATCGATATTAATACTGATTCTCAATTCTTTAGAGCAATGAGGGAGTTACTGCTACGGGTAGAAATTTACTGAGATCGGGTACCTCTCAATAATATTTTCACTTGAGCTCTCTCCGCAGTCAGACACAACTGAGAGATGAAATATAGTTTATCTACCCTAGGCTATATATATATGTTTAAAATTTGACAATTTTTTCAAACCAAATTTGAGTTAATGAAGTTTATATGATTTGCTTAATAAATTCATACACGGTATATATATATATATATATATATATATATATACTTTACAATTAGAATTAAGATACCTTTAGTTAATGCCCATTTTCACTTACGAATTTCAACTTTAAAATCTCTCTCTCTCTCTCTCTCTCCTCCCTCTCTCTCTCTCTCTCTCTCTATATATATATATATATATATATATATATATATATATATATATTAACTTCAGTCAGTTCATTTTCGTTAATTCTAAATATCTCAACAACTAACCATTAGAATTAGCAGAAAATTTAGTTAAATATTTTAATAAGAGTGAAAATTGATTGGTTCCGAACTTTTTGAGTTATTAAGGTTAATTTGATTTGCATAATAACTTCAGACAGGCTGTATAATTTAGTTATATCTGATGTTTTTTACACACATATATATTTTAATTTTTTTTCTCCTTATTTTTATAGATACCTATTATTTAAGCAAATGCTCTGTTTTTATAATAAACATAATTAATTTCATTTTTAGCGGCATATTGTCATGTTCAATAGAATTAACTGATCCGTGGATAACGAAATGAAAATAATTTACACCAGAGTGTTGAATAAAATGTTCATGTTGAAATAGCCAGAACCTTATAACAATAATCAAACTGAGGAAGAAATGGTCGTGAGTTCAATCGTAGGGTTGTCTAGTGAAGAATGTCATCTACCCTATTTTTATGAAAAAAGGGACGACATTAAAAAGAGGTCTTAACGTGATAATATTAACTGATACGAGATTTATTTTAACATAGACAACAAATTGAAAAACAAGGGTTCAGTTCGAAATTTTCAGTTTAACAAGACAGGCATCTGATGAAGAGCAGGGTACACAACTGCTGAAATTTCGTGACTCTAACTACCAAGCTAAGTACCTTTCTTTTCTAAGTACACCAATATATAATTCTGATAATTCTTTATATAAAAAATAAAATCAGACAGAAATGTAGATTTTTTTTCCTACAATTTAAAATGGGAAGATCATCGAGGTGGGTTTTGTAGTTTCTGGATGGGAGTAACGTCAAAAAAATATTGAGAAAAAGTCAACTGGGATTGAACCACTGGAAGGCATAGAAAATATCTGCTACAATTCTTGAAATATGGAATACAAGACTAGCAGTTATATTTGAAACCGTGAAATCAGATCAAAGTGATAGTGAAGAATGACGTCAAATCAAGACAAAATGTTATTTTAAAATGTTTTCAGATGAAGAAATAATAAAAAAATTACTCTGTGAATCACGGTAAAGCAATGTCATTATTTTAAAGACTAAATGTAAACGGTATAAAATAAATTTGTACAGCATTAATATTTTTTGTAAATGACCCACGACAATTATTTGCTGAAATAAAAGTTTGAATAAATAGGACAGAAAAAGTTTGTTATTTAGGTTTTGTAGATTTAATAGCGACAGAATTTTAAGAGAAGCAACGATGGATTATTGACTCCTAAATATAATTATTTATTGTTATATTTAATTTCATAATTAAAAACAAAATGTTTTTTACCTTTTGACTTGCCCTTTTCTGCTTTTTGTGAATCCACCATTTTGTTCTTTCAATAATAGAAACTCAAGATGAATTTTGTAAAAATGACACCGTCAACAAAACGCCGAGCGGGAAAACTGTCTGGTTTGGGAAACGACGGTTACTCTTCTAAGATAAAATAAAATGTAGGATTAGAGTATTTTATGTTAATCTGAGGAGAATGTGTCAAGGTGACATACTTCATGTATTCAGGGTGGGGATAAAAGAATGAAACAAAGTATAATGATGACAGCTGGAAGTGAAGAGGGAGAGACATAGAAGGAAGGACGGAAGGAAGGAAGGAAGGGATGGAGGAAGGGAGGGTGGGAGGAAGGGAGAGAATTAGAAAGCAGCGGCAGAGATTTTGATAACGGAATTGGGCTAAAGAAAGAAAGAAAGAAATAACTAACTAAATAAATAAATGGAGGATAGGAACAAGGAAAAAAACAAACGAAGAATGAAAAAGACATTAAAAATAAAATTCGGCAGTACATATTTTAATAAGCACCTAAATTTTGGCATTTATTATTACTTAGAAAAAAAGCTTTGTCTCTTCGATCGAAACTGAATGATGAGGAGATCTCCGTCTTTCAACATTAATACGAACAGACAAGGTAAAAATTACTATGAATCTAAAAAAAAATAATATTAATATTGTTTAAAACTCCTCACACACACAAATACAGACACATACATATATATATATACATATCATACACACACACACACACACACACACACATATATATATATATATATATATATATATATATAAATTCATGAATCATTCATACAAAAAACAAATATAGAGGTTAATGATTTAAATGGCGAGAATACATCTTCGCAAACAATATAAATAAGATACATCAACCCCGAACCTGTATAAGAATGATATGATCCCTGTTCATAAATTCTAGTTGCATAAGGTCTTTTAATTTTTACAAGCTTTCGTCTGTTCCTACAGACATCCTCAGGTATGGAAATAGATTTTGTTCTTGTTTTTTCGGTAATAAGAGGACAACGAAAATAGAGATGTAATCCGAAAAATGCTATGAGAAATGTGTTATTATTTTGGAACGTGCGGTCGCAACGCTGAGTTTGAATTTAAATTTTAAGGTTGTGCGTTTTTGTACAAAAGAGAATTTTTTTTTACTGGTAGATTTTCCGTCTATGTGGCATGAACTATATTGTTCAATAATTACAGTAATGTCACACTTATTATCCGAAAGTTGCACGTTGGATCAGTTATTTTAATTTCAATTAAAGGTGCAAATTATAATTTATAAATTCATGAATCATTCATACAATATATATATATATATATATATATATGAGGTTCAACGTACTTGGGTTAAAAAAACAAACTATGCGGCTTCCTTGATGAATTTAACATCAAGAATATGAACATTAAGAATATGAATACACCACTGGAAAATATCAGTATAAGAATAAGTAGACACAATATGTCTATATTATTTGATGAAACATGTTTTAATGAATATATAAAACAAACCGCTTAACAAAACTAATCAACAAAAATTACGTAATAATTAGTTAAAGCTGCATTAAAACGCAAATAATAAAAAAGCCACAACAAAAAGTAACAACCTACAATAACACAATCAAAGACACTCAATACAACTGCAGAAATAAAACAACATGTCCACTCCAAGGAAAATGCCAACAAACGAATATCTTACTTATTATAAAACGCAGATTGTGTGTGTGTGTCTGTACATTTATATATTGGATCGGATTACCTACATTTTTCAACTAATTTCAACAAAACTTCACAGGACTGCGTAAAATTACCTTGCGGTGGTTCTGACATCCCAAAATTGGAAAAACACAATTGTTTTTGCATGAAATCAATTTGAAAACACTTAAAACACGATTCTGTCGCCAGAATGAAAGGGGGGCAACTCATATCGAGTTATACTTATTATAAAATCCAGGTTGTTTGTGTGTGTGTGTGTGTTCGTTTATATATGGGATCGGATTTCCTACATATTTCAACCGATTTTAACAAAACTTCATTTTTTTTTTTGACAGGTAGTTTTTCTTATTGTCTTGCACACTTTTTTCTTTATTTTTTACATTCAGAATGCTTTAAAAATTCCATTTACAAGACAATTGTTTATAATAAAATTCTATTCAATCGATAGACTCATAACGATTGAAAACAATGTTTTTGTTTGAGTTTGACCAATTCGTAAAAAAACAAAAAACAACAAAAAAAAAACAAAACAAAAACTAATTAAGACATGCGTGTCCGTCAACCTTAAACAATAATCTTTGTCAATTTTTCAGTCTTTATGATGGTCGATACTTGATCTATCTCTTACTGTTACATCCCCGGGCAACGCCGGGCTCTACTGCTAGTAATATATAAAGCCAAGGTAAAGGCAAACAACAGCACAATGTACTACAGTGGTGCCACTGAGGTCTATTCAAAAAAAGGAAATACAAACACGACCTCGCATTCTCCGACAGAAAATACTTAAACAGCACTATACTATCCACATACCTATGGCAACTAAAAGACAGAAATGTTTTCCTCAAAATCTTGTTTGTGGTCCTTAAGAGTGATGTAGCATTGCTTTTCAGCTAGTTTGCCTACCCTATCGCTTATTTTTAATTTTTCAGTAATAATTTTACTAGTTCTGTTGATACTGTCTACCATATTAATATTGTTATTATTAAGTCTTAGTTAAATTATTTAAATTAATTTGTTGTAGTCGTCTGCCGTCAATTTGTAGAAGTTTCCCGTTTTGTCGGACTTAACTAGTATTTTATCGCTGTCGTAGATGCTTTTAACTATTTGGTCTAGATGTTTTTGGAAGTTGCTTTTCTTTTCTTTTTTTTTTCAAAGGAGATGTTATTGATTATATTGAGTATGTCCTTTTCAAATTCCTGTATTTTTTTATTTTTAATTTTTACTTTTAAAGCCGTAAACCTCATATTCTTTTTTTGTTAAGTTATTCCCTCGAAGGAAGAAGAATGCTTTCCATCTCATTCTTCTGATTAATTCCTCTGTTTTTTTTGCAAAGTTTAACGAAATAATTCCATTTGCTTGTGTGTGGAATGTTCTTCAGAGAAATGACAAAATTTACTTTTTCCATATTTTTAAAGTTCTTATTTTAAAAATAAAGGTTCAGAGTGCTCGACCTTAATTTGGGAGCAGATATATGTGTGCAGATAAGTAGAAGAAGTAGGAAAGAACACATTAGGTAAACAATCCGGAGTTCTTTAGTATTTTTGTTTTTATTTAAAAAAACAAACAGTGGTCCATAGAGAAGTAGAGCTTAAATTATAATTAATTAAAAAAAGAAATATGATTCCTTCGCTACATAAGAGTTCTCATGTTTCAAAAAACGAGAGCCGATGGAGACAACACAAATGCACCTTCAATAATATTAGATAGAGACAACACAAAAGCTCCTTCAATAATATTAGAAATAGAAATCAGACATCTCTATCCAAATATTTTTGGCATTTAAAAGAAATGAATAAAACACCTAAAGTAAAATGGAAAATAATAAATAGAACAAGAACTTGTAAAACCTGGGATGACCCATGCCCTTTATGCCTACATGAAAAACTACACATTATTAAGTTTCTTAATAAAAGAAAATTTATGAAACCATAGACATAAGTTAACGGTTTTTTGCCGACATCAACAAATTTTCGCATTAAATAATTAGCAGAAAAAAATTAAATTCTATCGACAAAAAGGTTTGAAAGCTTAACCCAATCATAAGATAGAAAAACCCTTAATGAAGTCGCCAAAAAAACAAATTGTAGTTCTGTGCGACGCGTTTATATACGAAACATCTCTTTAGAAAATAAATAAATAAATAAATAGATAAAATAAAATAAAACAAAATTCTCTAGACACTTGACGACATATTATGGTGCCAAAAGCTATCTTTCGTTGTGATTGACCAGACGTACATGAATGCCATCATTCGCTTTGAAATGGACACCCCGACCCAACATCGGCTTGGCCTATTTCCGAATGTGGTTAAAAATTAACTCATAAGCCCCTTATCAAAATGGTCGCCCCAGCCGATTCTATAGTAATTAATTATACAAATGAACATGCTTAAAAAGATGCGTAAATTTCAAGATTAGTTATTCCTAAATTTTCGCTTGATACTTTACTTCAATTTAATTTTAATAATTATATTGAGGTTTTCGGCTCTCTTTTTTGAAACATGGGAACACTTATGTAGCAAAGGAATCATATTTTTTAAAAAAATAATCATAATTTAAGCTTTACTTCTGTTTGGAGGACTTTTTAAAAAAATAAAAACAAAAATACTAAAGAACTCCGGATTACTTACCTAACGTGTTCTTTTCCTATTTTCTACATATCCGCATATATATATATATATATATATATATATATATATATATATATATATATATATATATACACTCACACGCACATACACACTTACACAAATAATACTTACTCACTCCCTGATGAGCCAAATGATAACACACACCCACAGCAATATACATGCTTGCACATATCATACTCACTCATTCCCTAAGAACCAAATAACACACACACTTAAGACACATCCCCTCTCCAGGAACCAATAAAACTGTCAAACTGACCAGGGGAATTCAGAGCAACATGGATGCATCCAGCTCTTATCTCAAATAACAACTAAATCGAGACTGTTTGAGGAAACACAAGGAATGTTAAAAGATTCAGGTTAAAAAGATAAAAAACAAAAACAAATGAAAACTACAGACAAAAGTTCATTTTTTCCATCAAGACATTCATTTCTGTAGTTCACAGTTACCAGCAAGCAGAAATATTTTTCTTCTGATAATGGCGATTTTTGCCGAAACCAGTCGAAGAATACAAATGAAATAATAATAGTAAAAACGAAATAATATTAATCTACAACCCAGTGTGTCTGAAGATTTTAATTTTTTAATATTTTTTATTGTTCAATATATATATATATATATATATATATATATATATATATATATATATATATA